TGTTTAGAGGGTTGGAATCATGACAGTCAATGGGATGCCACGGGAAAAATGTGCAGAGAGGGGGACAATGGGGACATGGGACAATGATAGAAATCTTTTTAAAAAAATCTCCTCTTTAAAGGTGGTCAGAGGAAAAGACACTAGAAAAGAAATCTGAAAAAGAATAGTCAGAAGTTGGGTTTGGGATTTAGGAGTGAGTAGAATCCTGGAGTCAAAGGAGGAAAGAGCTTAAAGAAGAGAAAAGTGTCCCAAAGTGTCAAGAAGTTCAGGTAAATCAATATTGAAAACTACCCATTAGAGTTGGTAATGATGAAATGATTGGCGGCCTCTGCTTGGGCAGTTTAATGTAAGCCGTGAGGTCAGAAACCACATTATATGAAGGGAAGAGTATGTTGAAGGACGATCAGAGGGGAGAAGGTTGTTAATGACCCTTAAAGAAACTTGGCTAGAAAAAGTGAGAATAGAAGAATACAGTTTTAGAGAGGAAGGCTTTATTTTCTAATAGAATGTAGGAGTTATATGTATATTTCTAACCTTGTAAGGCGGGCTCTACAGAGAAGGAGACATTTTTTTCCTGTGGCTCCAATCTCCATCTGTCAAAGTTTTGTCCCAGTGAGTGTCAACTCCCCTGTACTACTAGTTTGCTAATGCCTAGCAGGTTACCAGGGAAGCCCCAAGGTGGGAGGTGAGCTGCTGTGCCCATGTGAAGATGATGGGTGAAAAAAAAAGAGTAGATGGTTGCAATGGTGGTTGGGGCAAAGCTGAGGGCCCATGTTAGAAGAGAGACCAACTGTAGTCCCAGCTACCTGGGGGGCTAAGGCAGGAGGATGGAGTTTGAGGTTGCTGTGAGTACTGTAGCCTGGGTAACAGAGCGAGACTCTGTCTCAAAAAAAAGTCAAGCCAAGAGGTTCTGGCATGATGTGTAAGAGGTGTCTGAAACAGGAAGTTAACTTGAAAATAATAATGAAGACTTAAAAAGTCAACTGTTGATTTTAAGAATGGGTAAAATTTGTGAGCAGCCACTAACAGCACATTGGATTCCATACATTCCTACTGGTAATAGTTGGCAAGGTTATGTTATTTTCTCCAGCAATATCCAGTGGTTTCGATGTAAGAAGGATGTAATTATATTGTAGAGTTTAGATGAGAGATTTCTTGGATAAAATTGGTGGAAGGCACAAGGAGGTTAGCTTGCAGGTGAGAAATCATAAAATTTGGAGTAGGTGAATTCAAGGGTAAGCCAACAAAGTCATTGAAAGGGACTGGACGTACTGACATCTTAGAAATATTGTTTAGGGGGAGTGAAAGGATAAAAATGGAAGGTTATGAAATTGAGATCCTAGACTAGCACATTGGAATTTACAATGTTGGGAAGAAACATTTTGGTGAAATGACAAGAACTATTCTTGAATTATGGGAGTAAATTCAAGAAGCAGAATCCATAAACTCCCATCTGATTTTATGTCAAGGATGTTGGATGTATTGATCACATGGAAGTTTCTCAGGGTGGTAGAAAGAGATAGAGAAATGAGAATTGAAGTGAAGGCAAGATGCCAAAGTCATCAGTGAATGTAAGAAAGTGAACTTGATGTTAGTGGACCCAGGGACAAGAAGGAATTAGAGGTGGCATTCGCTAATTCTATCGTTTAGCAATACTGAGTATCAACAGCACGCTAGGCACTGCATCAGTTGCTGGAACACAAAGATAAGCAGGTTAATCCTTATGATCTGATGGGGAGACAGATAGGAAAACCAATACTATAATACAATAATGTATGCATTTTAATAGAGTTATGTACACCATGTTTAGGAAGTCACAGTAGCTGATCCTGAAGCTGTCTTGGAAATTGATTGAGAGTTTTTCAGGTGAAGAAGGAAGAAAAGGGAATTTAAAGCAGAGGGAAGAACAGAGTAAGAAACAGATTCAGCAGAAAGAGGCCAAGAATTATTGATGAACTTGATTATTTTGACAACTTTAAAAAGATATTTATTATGTGTTGAATGTTGTTTAGAAATTTGTCTAAGTTTCTTTTTGTTGCAATGTACAAATTTATATGTGAATATATAATTTTTTTTTTTTTTTTTGAGACAGAGTCTCGCTTTGTTGTCCAGGCTAGAGTGAGTGCCGTGGCGTCAGCCTAGCTCACAGCAACCTCAAACTCCTGGGCTCGAGTGATCCTACTGCCTCAGCCTCCCAGGTAGCTGGGACTACAGGCATGCGCCACCATGCCCGGCTAATTTTTTATATATATATCAGTTGGCCAATTAATTTCTTTCTATTTTATAGTAGAGACGGGGTCTCACTCTTGCTCAGGCTGGTTTTGAACTCCTGACCTTGAGCAATCCGCCCGCCTCGGCCTCCCAGAGAGCTAGGATTACAGGCGTGAGCCACAGCGCCCGGCCTATATGTGAATATATAATTTAATTATAAAAGTAATTGACACCTTTAGTCGGTTTATTTTCTTGGCATTCACACTTTTTAGCTCTCAGGAGCTCTGAAAAGTACAGAAGTAAGTCAATACAGGATCATCCATCTGGCCTGAAACCCCAGGAGGTATGACAGGAGACCACAGGTCTGTTCAGGATAAGGATTGGGAGCTCTGGTTCAAGATCAGTAAATTACAAATGCCCACTCTAGAATACTGAAGACTAGTAAAAGAAGGTCATAAATGAAAATCAAGGTATTATCTTTAGAATTGTCTGATTACTTTAAAGGATATATATTCTGGTCATTTCCCCTTTCTTTTACTACTTTTGGAGGAAGATTAACTCATTTTATTTTTATAGCATTGGTTGCACTTACAATTTTTAGAGAAGCAACAAAAAAGGGAAATGGCCTCGTAAACTATCATTAGCCCTTTAAAATGGTCCTGTGAATAAGTGATCAAATGGAAAGGGCCTTGAGGACTTTTCCTTGCCTATAAATGGTCACTGGCTGATATGCAACCCAATATCACTCTCTTGCTCTCCATTTTAGAGCAAATGGTAGGACAGCACAGGATGGGTGATAGAGTGCCACAGGCTTGAGTTAAAGTCACAAGTCAGTTACTGGCTGTGGGACTAAGCTAGGAACTAGCTACATGCAGACTTTTGTCTTCCCAGAGATTGTTTCTTCAACTGCATAATTAGATCCAGACATAGCTCTGATATGGGGTAGACCTGGGCTCCCTAAGGTCAAAAGCCTTGGTCAGCAAGGGTGCCCTTGCAGAACTTTGACACTTGTGGAGTGCTTCCTGGGGCCTTAACTGGTCTGCATGGGAATTCCCCACTGCCCCCTGACTAGGGTTTGCCTGATCCTGGATCCTCTTGCTTAGCTGCCACATTACCTGCCTGGGTCCATCCCTCCCCTTCATCCAAGAAGTTTCATAGCCTTCATCAAATTTTCAGAGGGACAGGTGATCCAAAAAAGTCAGGGGGAAAAAGAACTCATAATACTGCCTTCCCAAGAACAATGCAACCAGTTTCCAACTAAAAGCATGGGAAGAGACAGGTGAGAAAGAAATCTTTTCAGTCTGGTGCCCTTGAGTTCAAGTTAATAAATACAATTTTTCAATTAAGAAAAGTTAGAGGAGTCTTACTCGTTACATTTCACCATGAATAAAAACAAGTGTACTATTTTCAAGAATGTTGTAGGGTTATTTTGTTACTCAATTATAATCTAGTAAATTTTTTCCTGAACTTAAGGAAAGCCCTGACAATAATTTTATCTGTAATGCAGAAAAAAATCCAAAGGATATTCATGCATTGGATCTCATATTATTGGCCAAGCAAATCCAAAATAAGGACAGTGTTTCAAGGATATGGTCCCTAATGTGTTTCTTTGGGGACCCAATCTCTCATCATACAGAGGCAGAGGAAAATTAAATGACTCAAGGAGGTCTCTCCAGGAGCATAAGTTCCAAAGATTTCTCAGTAATATTCCACTTCAGATAAGGCACTTAGATTCTTTATACCTCAGTTTCCTCATCTATGAAATAAAAAGTTGGGACCAGAACAGTGCTTTTCAAAGTACAGTTATGAAACTCTCTGCACAGAGTCATCTAGGATCTCTATTTAAACTGTGAAATTCATAGATGAATTTAAAAACATACTAGGAATAAAAATCCAATACTGCAAGATTACATTCATATGAAATTCCAGAAAAGGGCAAAATTACAGGAACAGAAAGCCAAACAGTGATTGCCTGGGGGATATAATTGGAGGCAGGTAAAAAAGATGGATTGCAAAGGGGCAGGAAGCACTTTGTAGGGTGATTCAGCTGCTTTATACCTTGATTATGGCGGAGGTTCCATGGCTGTATGTGATTGTCAAACTTTGCCAAGCTGTACATCTCGAGTGAAATTTGCTGTATTTAAGTTACAACTTATCCAAAGAGTTGCAAATTCCTGGGCCTTATCAGAATGTGAATTTTTAACAAGCTCCCTCAGTGGATGTTTTATTCACTTATGTTCACCACTGAATTTAATAATTTATTCATCTCTTACAAATTTAGGATCCCATAAAACTCCAATTTGGGTGACAGTGGCAAAGTGCTGCTGGATGTCAAAGATAGATGGCAAGGGATATTTTTAGCTGTTATGCAGACAATGAACTACATGGAAGACTAAGAACTCTACAAGTTAAAAAAATTTTTTTTTACAGCTTGGCAAACCTCTATCAAGGGGACAGATTTAGAAGAAGGATTTAGTGCATGGGTCAAGAGGACTTCTAGGCCCTTCATATTACTTAGTCCATGCCTGGGCAGACTTTCTTTGACACTGGCTAGGTCTGCTCACTCATGAAATTCAAAAGTATGCAGGTTTGGAGAGTAAGATGAGTCAAAACAGATGCTAGTAATTTTATGCTGTGCCTACCAGCATGGTTCTCATTCCTGTGAGTCTGAGTTTTAAATAATTTTAGTAAGCAAATGATTTCTTTTCCAAATCTCCCAGGCCTATGATACAGTTAGAGAAACACAGCACAATAGCCTGCCTAAAGCCGTTTGGAGCACTGATAATTACCCTCAGAAGAGCTGAGCGCCGAAAGGGCTGGAATTCTAGCTCTTCTGCCATTGCTGTGGATTATGACATCACCAAGTTAATTGATTGCATTCCTATCTACCTTTCCACTGGGGACCATGCATTATTCAGAATATTTTTGTTTGTTAATCCAAAACAAAAAGCGCTCAGCCTCTGGAGCAGTGCCCTGGTGTCTGAGATCACGTTATTGATGGCTAACGGCTGTCAATTACTGGGGAGGGACCACGAGCTGCCAGGTGTTGCCTGGAAACGGCCTCAAAGTGGGCAGAGGAGGCCATGAGGAGCTCCAAAAACCAAAGAGGATTTCAACACTTGGAGTATAATAAATGAACAGTTCTTCGACAAACAAATACTAGAGAAAGAAAGAATCATGCAGTAAGGCCAAAATGGGAAGCAATGAACTAGGAATGACCAGGCTCAAATATAGAAACATATCCCAGGCCACTTTGGTCAGCAGAGAAAAAATGGCTCATGGATTCCCTCTCTCCTCCCTTCTTTGGCTGAGAAACTGCTTGCTTTTGTATTCCTTCCTCCCTCTCTTTTCTAATTTAACATTTATTTTATTTTATTTTTTATTTATTTTTTTTATTTTAGCGTATTATGGGGTTACAAGTGTTAAGGTTATGTATATTGCCCATGCCCCCCCTCCTCCCTCGAGTCAGAGTGATTTAACATTTAAATGAGCACCCTTTATGGATCCAAGAAGAGGCTGGAGAAATACAATGGATACGAAAGACACAAAGACACAATTCCTTTGGAGGAGAGTAGGATCCAGTAGGAGAGCCAGATGGATGAACAATGACAATTAAACATAAGAAGTGCTTTAAGAAACTAAGTGCCACAGGAGCCAAGAGGAGCAAGCTCCTAAGAAGCTTTCTTACTTTCCAACAGTGGTTCTCATGTAGGGGAGATTTCTGCTTCCCAGGGGACATTTGGCAATATCTAGAGACATATATGATAAAAGGACAAGGCAGCATAAGTGGAGTGAACTTTTAGGTGGTGATGTAGGTCTGACACCTGAGGAAGAAGAGAAAGGAGGAAGAAGGATTGGGTAGGATGAGCCTCAGAGTGCAGTGCGGCTCGGTAGAAGTCTTGGTTAGGCGGAAGAGGAATCCAAGCAGAGATTGTCATGACAGGAGTCGTTGGTCAGGCGGGAATAGCCTGTCTCTCGTATCCCCACCATGCTTGGTCATTGGCTGAGAGCTACCTGGGAAGACCATAGCCTTGGCACGGATGCCATGCCGCATCCAGAAGTGTGGCTGCCCAAGTTGACAGCTAACAACATTCCTCGAAGCAGGGTCTCCCTAGAAGGGAGTTTGCCTGGTGCACCTCCATGGCCACCACAAATAAACTATGACTTCCGTCCGTGTTGCCAAGCTAGAATTGTTTAAAGGTCTCCATCTTCCAGAAAGCTAGGCTGCACGCCTGTACCGATTAAAAAGAATGTGTAACACCTGCGAATGTTTATACAGCTTCTGCCTTGGTTTTTTGTTGTGTGTCTGTACAATAATAGAAGAAAGACCTTTCCTTTTGTGTTGCGAGTTAAGTGAAGAAAAGACGTGATTATATGCCATTCTGAGGCCACAATTTCTGCCCCTGAAATGTTAATAAAATGGATCAGAGCATGTGCAAACGTGCACACACACACACAAATTTTTCTATAATGATCACTTATTACCCCCACAGGGCATTGGCTATAGTTAGCTGAAATTATCTTTCTGTGTACAGCCTATCAACAAAGGATCAGCTTCTACTCTAGGATGCAAGGTCTTTCAGACGTTTGAAGAATCCTCTCTTGGCAGATAATGGAAAGCAATACAGGAAATATCTGATATTTTGTGTCTTTTTATTAGGAAGAATACAACGAGGCAGGGAAACTCTTTGACTCGTTTCAGTCTCTCTTGGCATCCTGATTTTGGCAGGTCTAAAACATCACGTGGGGGAGCCATCTGCCTTTTGTGCTTGCCTTTTAAGAAGAAAACATGGTTCTCCTATGATGTTGTTGATTGCACTGGAGCCTAGTGGGTTCCTCAGAAAATGATGTGAACATACTCAAAACAGAAATCTGTGGTCCCTGCAGCCAGCCAGACCATGCTGTCCATGAAATTAATGCAATCTGCCCTCTGGGTTACAAAGAAGACCCCTTATAGTCAACAGCTGGTGTGTGAACATGTTCACCGTTGGACAAGAAGAAGTCCTTCCACTGTTGTGAATTTAAGAGTAAGACGTGGAATAATATGCGGTCCTGGGTGGAATTTCTTAAAACCCAACTGCCAAGAGTAATTCCTCTGAAATAGAAGAGAGAAGGTAAAATAGAGAAAGAGAGATACTGTGTTTAGCTCACTTCTCATCTTTTTCGTGTGTGACATTTTGAGCAAAGTAATTCTAGCATTAAACCTCACAGTGAAAGTGCTCTGGTTGACACCCAGCTTCAGGAAATTAGAAAAGAACAGAATACATTTTGCCAGCAAGTTCATGGCATTTATAAAATCCCATCACATTAATTCATGAAATCCCCATATCCAATGACCCCATATCAGGCACTGTCCTTTGGGGGACATCACACAGGAGGTAGTTTATAGGAAAAATCCTAAGTTTCCAGCTCTCATATATCAGACATAGCCAGAGAGCTGAGGAAGCGGGGTCTTCTTATCATTTTTCCAGAGGATTTGACATATTTATTCTATCTGGAAATGATTTTCGGGGAAAAGACAAGCTACCGCAGTATGCCTCATCAATGTCAGAAGAGTTATCATACACAAACACTCAATAATGACTTTAAAAAGTGATTATGAACTAGTTCATTTCTCAATGCAGCACACACCACAGTAATAATCCAAATTGCCTGTGACTTATGAGTATATTTGGCAACAACCACTAGTTCCCACTGTAGTGTGAAATTAACACCACAGACTGTAGCTGTGGCATTTATTGAGCACAAGGGAGCTGATTATAGCCTCATAAATTCAAAGGCAACCTATGCTATTACTTAATTAGAATCCGTATCTATGCATAAATTACAGTAGCAATAACTAGTACTGTTATAGTTAAAGATTTGTCAGCTTTCTTATTATATAACCACCTCTTATTTTTCCACATAACCCTATAATTTAGGGAGGTTATAAGTTGTCTGTAAAAATTGTTCAGAGGGGAAAATTGGCACGTGGTATCTTGGAGGCCAGTAGTGTTTTGTTTCTAAGTAAACTTTTAAAATATTAATCTTGTGCCATTGGGTTTTTTTCTTCTTCTTAAGAATAATACCACTAAATCCCTAATCCACCCCTAGTAATAAATTGTTTTGGCTACAAATGCATGTTTTTAGAGCACAAAACTTCATTTTAAAACAAGTGTTGTCTTGACACTTTTTCTTCCAGGGTCCTTTTTATTTTTTTAATTATTATAATATTAATGCAAAACAAACTTCATACACACACACACACTTACTAAATATTAGACTAGTATCCTCTGAATCAATTTTTATTCTTTGCTGATGTGTATCATACTTTCACATAGTTGTAACCAATATGTACATTTTCTTTGGGGTCCAGTTTTTTTTTATTTTTTTGGCTTAACATTTTCTCATATGCACATGAGACTCATTGACATAGCCCATATATGGCTCAGTATTCTATTAGATTAATCTTCTAAAATACTGCAGAAAGATAAAATCATATGAGTCAAATAATATCTTTGCATGATGCAAATGTATATTCCAGACAAAAAGGTAATTTTTAGCCACAGGAAGAGCCAAATGTGATAAATCATCAGGGAAATAATTGATCAAGGATGTGGAACAAGTCCATGAGATAAAATGAATCCATTAATTTTTTGGCACTATACTGTGTTTTTAAATATCATTTGGCTAAATTAACAATTTTTCAACTGGATGTTTTTCTACTGTGTGGATGTTACCTAATTCATTTATAGAGTTAGAGCCACATTGTTTACAAAATGAGAAATTGCATATAAAGAGGCACTATAGCTTGCTTTCTGTTTTCAATTACAGTCAATAATCTTTTTATTCTCAAGATGGATGTAGTTTAACCTTCAGCAGTACAATATTTTTTAACATAACATTTTCAGATTTGTTTCTGTATGATTGTTTTAAAACACATCAGGCTGATAACTTGAAATATAGTATATATTATTGCTAATATTAAATTATTATCATTATTGTCATTGGCATTATTATCCACTCCAAAAAGTGCTTTTTCAGCTTGCCTTTCCCTGATTGTTGTTGGGGTGTGTGTCTCTTAATGGTTGGAACATAAAATCAACAAATATTTTTTTTCTCGACATCCAGAAATAATCATTATTTATTTGGGGCAAGTGAAAAGTAAACAGCTATTGTCAAGCCTGCACTTGACTATCATCAGACATGGATTATACAAGATTTTTTTAAAAAATAAATAAATTTTAAGGTCAGATTTTAATGAAGGAACTCAACTGTTAATATCACCTATCATACTCCATCTGCTTTGCTATACTGAATGTCTACCTGACCCCAAAACTTAAAACCAGGCTGAGCCACCCACAGACCATACAGATGACAATCGGCAGGAATGGGCTTCTGGACTTCGTATCACTATATACTGAGGCTTGAACTCATGAATTTGGCTGCCTTGATGACAGAATTGGGTTGGCTCTGTTTAATCCCATCAAATACTTATAAGCTGTTATGATGAGGAGTGGGGAAACTATTGCTGGACAATGACAGCTGTAACAAGTGTGCCAATATGGAAATGCAGAGAAATTACTGTAGACAAGCTCAATTTATCTAGAGAGAGGGCAGAATATGAAATTCTGCCTGCATGGAATAATTTCTGGGTTTCTGATATGACCCTGCAAGCTAAAAAGAAGACAAAGAGCATTCCCATTTTATTTTATGTTAGAAGTCATCGCTTAAGACACTAAAGGACACTATAATTGCAAACAATGCTGAGGGGTATATTTTAAGAAATTCAGACCATCTTAGTTTTGTAAGAAAAATTAGAAGATGGTTAAATATAATCCACCATTCCAATCAATATTA